GTGCATCTTACGCCTGTTTCCTCGTGCCCACTATCTTTCTTCGCATTATCCAGTCTACCTCCAGAAATTAGGATAATCACGGGCGATAGTAGGCAGCCTTTTGTTGCTCCCGTCTCCATTTCGAAGGATTCCGCAAGTTCCCGTTGTTGATTATTTGGCGTGCAGCATTGTTGTACAACTGTTGGATGAGGTGTATAATTGTCCGCAGCACCCCATAGTAGCGAATTACTTGTCAAATCACCTCTCGATAGACGCGGTTGTCAGCTTTTTCGAAGTCGATGACAGTAGTTTCGTCCCAATTTGAGACTCCCCAATAGTACCCCCCCACTAAAGGGGTTTGAACCCAGGACCTTCCAGTCACATGGTAAGCTCGTTGACCAATTAGTCAGTGGAATTCAACCTCATAATCATGAGAGTCCAAAACTAGCACGAAATACCTGTTCCGTACTTCCTGGTTTTCCTGCGATCTTGTAACCGATATCAGTTCAGAACCAAACCTGTAACCAATCAGATCTCTGCAAACCAGCATTGTATAATCTTATGAGAAAAATTCAGAAAGGTTTTTTCATGAATATACCACTTTTCACTAAAATTAGCCCGGCTTATTATGACTGGCTGCCTCAAGGTTATTAGTGTACTCATCCACTTGGACAGTATTCTCTAACTTCTTCTGGAGCAGAATAATCGTCCCATAAAATTGCATTTATTGGTCATTATGAATTAATCTATGAAAAGTAACTTTCCAGCCCTGCTTGAATTTAGATTCCGAAACGAATCGATAAAAGTTAAAGAACCATTGGAAAACCACCATTAGGGATCAATGGACAGCTATTTCAGCCTAGTTTCGGTCTCTTCACTAGTACACATTCATGACCTCAAGAAAAAATTCGGTCCACGAGCTTTACGTTATTAGGTAAACATGTTGGTCGATATGATCGAATATGTCAAATGGAAAGATTCATTGAAATGGACTAAAGTGGGGAGCTATATATGGCAAATTACTAGGAGTATGGACTCTTGAGTCGAAATTGTTACAAATCCGATATTCAGATATTTGATTTAAACCTGTACCTTTGAGACAAATCTTAGTGTCGAACAACTACAAGATAAAAAAAAAGGATTTTTGTCTCCACAAAGTTCATTCCTCATTAAAATATACGGCCATCAGATTCAGAAACATTCTTGTTCTTCAAAAATGTCTCACACCAAACACCTGTTCTCCACATATTTTTGCCCTCCTTTCACTCAACTTGATGCCTATTACATTCGGAGTGGGTTATTTAAAGGCCAGCATATTTGGTAAATCGTGTTTTAACAATATACAGCTGAAAGTCAGACAGCCTTCAAGGTCATTTAAATCAAATTGGCATAGGTTTAAACGTCTGAATAGTTAACATATCATTAATCACCTGTTTCATGTCTCTCTTCTAAAATCCAGGTGTTCATTTGGTTTTTTTGGGGTGAGGTGGGGTAGGTGGGTGGGGATGTAGGAGGAGACTAAACCATGTAAATTAACCTACTTTCAATCAAATGGTAATACAATTTGGCGATGCTGCTTACATATGCTTCAGTAGTCGATTTTTTTTTCTAACTCGTGAAATATTTCACCGTTAGACTATTTCGTGTTTTCCATTCAACTACCTCCGTAAATGGAATAAAGCATCCAGAGGCTTGAGAGGCAAAGTTTCAGTAGCGGTATTATTATCACCATTTCCTTGAGTTCCGATTGGAACTGAGGGCTTTAACAACACACCTCCACTGTATTCTACCTTGTGCCATCCCCTTCAGCTGGTTGGCCACACGATTGCCCATAATCTCTTATCTCCTCCTACTCGCCACACGATCTCTTCCATGTCATCCCCACACACCGACAATCCACTCAACACTTCCCGTTGAGATTACACTCAGATTCTTGGTGACTTCGTTCGCAGCTACAGTTGTTTCTTCTTGCTAATTCTTTCTGACCCTCCATGTGATATTTAGTATGGAGTCAGCAAAATGGTCAGCTGTTGATAAATGTCGGCATTAGCCTGTTGTAAAATGCTTTTCATGAAGCACTGGTTAATTTTTGACCTGTATAGAAGAAATAACTTCACTTCGCCACGTCAGTACTTGTGAAGTTGTCTTTTTTTTCTTTTGGTGTGGAGCTGATAGCTCCATTCATACATCCAACCTTCCTTATTTTCCAGGCAAACTAGGTGTTGTTTAGGAGTGCATCGTCTGTGAGTCGAATACCTGATCACTTGATTGATTGGCAGTTGTTCTACCTTTGATCCACATGCGAATTCCTTACATGTATTGGATTAGTGAAAATCAAATTGTTTTAAACAAAAACTCTGTTTGACTAACTTTTCTCATGCTTAAAATAGTCATATAAGTTAACTCTTAGTTATATAACTTCATCAATTATTTTCGATTAGTTACAGGATTTCAAGTAGTGGTTTGTAGAGGGATTCGGTTGATTGGTTACAGGATTTCATCATGAGCTGACATTGGTTAGAGAACCATTAGAAAACCAGCTGGGAGTACTGGACGGCTGTTTCGTCCCAGTTTGGGACTCTTTATCAGTACGCACCCACCGTGGTTCGAACCCATGACTCTCTGGTTACAAGGCGAGCTCGTGTACCGATGTCTTAGTGTCATCGTTTTATGAGGCAAGCGAGTGATAGGCGATAGATAGGTGAGTTAGACTAGAATGTCCATCTGACTTTCAAAAGACGTTAAAATCCAACTTGACAGTATTTCGACATCAGCGATTGATTCATTTCATAAGATCTTTGAAAATTGTAGGCACAACTGATGGAAGTATGACAAATCATCCAAGAACTATTACCGTAGGAGTATGCAGGAAGAAATGAAGCTGAGATAATAGAGAAGATTTGTAGCTCAGGTGAATGATTTGCTATTAATAAGGTTCTCCAAGCTGGTTGGTTTAGTTGCGGAGCTTTCGTCGTCCCCCCCCCCTCTAGACAACATCTTCAGAGCAATATTTAGCATAAATTGAAATGATTTAAATTTCTTCATGAGTAATAAAACTGCGTCTCCCGGTAACCATCTTTACATTTGTATTGATCATTTTCTATTGACTTGGATTTCAAAACTTTCTGATCACATGATTTACTTTTTATTAGTTGATTAGTTAATTGCATATTCGTTTGAGTACCAGGCTTCTAGGAATTCCCTGACTGCACTTTTGATGTTTCCTTTGTCTAAGATTTCGACATTATTCCAATCGTCAAACTGATGTCCATTATTGTCTATGTGCATTGATATGAAACAGGAATATATATACGTGTCTTTTCACGGCTGATTTGTGTTCCTGGATTCTGATTCGAAGGGGACACCCACTTTGACCGATGTATTGCCTGTAACAGTTCATACAATTTATTTTGTAAATAGTGTTAATTTTATCTCCTTTTTCTGTTGGATGGATCTTTCAGTTTGCATAACATGGAATTAAGCGATTTGACTGGCTGGTTTGTGTGCTATATCTATATCAAACGGTTTCCGTATTCTAGCTGCTATTTCAGTTATATTTTTGCTTATATATGGTAGGATGAATTTTCTTGTGGTCTTTGATGATGGTTTCTTGTTGTGTGTTACTATTCGATTCTAAACACTTTTTCATAAAATTTTGCGGATATCCATTCTTTTTGAAGCTAGTTGGTAGGTATTTTTCTTCCATTCTTTCCAACTCTGAAGTGCTATATTGTTTTAAAATTCTTTCAAACGATGGCTGCACACAATTTCTTTTGTGAATAATTGGTTTATTGCTAGTATAGTTGAGTATTTATTCGATCTGTGTGCTGAGATCTTCAAATGACTTAAAATACACTACAGGCTGATCCTCCAGTGTGAATCCAAACAGGAAGCATTGGGTTAGGCAGAGTGCCTTAGGCTGAAATGAACCTGATCGTGTGCAGAGGGAATGATGGCGTGTTGTAATTCATGGAGCCAGCTATGAAAATCAGCAGAGAGAAGAATAAAATGAAGATTTGCCAATGTAGACCTTTATGAGGCCCAGAACTCAGAGGATCATGATATATGAGGTGCCTGTCTGACTGATGAAATGTATAGGCAAGTATATAAGACCTGTATTAGCTCTTAATTCACAACTTCAATTTTTTGTTCATTGATTGGATTGAATTGTCCGGCCTCTGTTGACATGGAGGCTCCTAGTATGGATACTTCAACGATGTCTGGATGTAGTTGATGTAGCCCGAGTAGTCAGGTGGATGACACTTTGGCGTTGGAGACGGTGTGTACTGGGTTTGAGTATTAGTGGAGACATCGTTGCTCACTGGTAATGTAAGTGCATCCACCAGCGAATAGTCCCGAATGGGACGACGAAATTCATATCCTGGATTCCATTCATCAAATTATGTAGAAATCTGTTTCTAAGATAGAATTCAAACTTATTTTTTGGAACTAGACAGGTGTTTCATCCTATTTCGGGACTATTCAACAATACACCAAACAGTACACTCAAGACGATTGGATTACAAGACGAATTCGTTGACCAATCAACCAATGAGACAGAATCCAGTGGATCATGAACGCTAATTTCTGTCAATATAAAATTTTCAGCGCCCATGTTATCGAGGAATAGAGAAAAGGTGGAATTCATGAGCCATCCATCTCAGCTCACCTTGTAACTTGAACGTCCTGGATCCCATTCCATGTGGGGTCATGGGCACGTCATACTGAAGGTCTCAAGCTAGGACGAAACAACTGTTTCGTTATCCACGGTGTTTTACTCTAGCTGACATCAATCCGTGATCAAATCTGAAACGAATTAAATCCTTTAAAACTGATACCTGAGAAAGCTTAATTTAGTCACGAAACATTCATTATCCTTCCTAGATAACACATTCAGTGCAAACTTCACACTGGTGTTAGATTATGACAGAAGTGTAGATCTCAGTGAGAAAATTATTAAGAGCTGAGGAGAACAGTCTTTTATTGATTTTACCTAATTCATGTATGTCTTTCTGTTTTAGATTGACAAAATCGTTTGTACCAATGAAATTAAACAAGCCAATTCAACGAACTCCTCTACTGGAAATACGCATGGTACACAAACGACACAAATTAAAAATTCTTCTATACCGGCAAATAACATCATTCCTACGGATCGTTCACATCTCCGCCGTCATCTTCAGCATTCGAACTCTGATAGCTCAGATATTAATGAGGCATTTGTAGATCAATATAATTATAAAAATCATAATTTCAAAATTATTGATTATCAAGTGATAAAAGAAGCTGTTGTTTTAAAAATGATCATAATTCAAGTAAGTTTGAACATTGTTTTTAGTAAGAGTATTATAGAAAAGGAAAAATAAAACTGTAACTTCTATTTTAAGGATAATCAATAAATAAGTTAATTTGTAATTGCTATTGATTAATTCTATTAGTGTTTTTAAAATTAAAATTTATCGATTTTTTTTATCGATCTATATTGATGCATGAATTAAACTATATATTGATACTTTGATGATACCTTTTTCGGTTATGAAAAACGAGAAGGAAGCAAAGAGCATTCAGGATAAATTTAATGAGGTACATCCTGTAATAAATTTTACTACTATTTTACCCTGGTATTCCATTTTTAGACGTTTTTATGACCAGAAAAGAGGATGGCACAATAAGAAGAAGTGTATGCATAGAAAACCTACATCAACGGGCCAGTACACACATTTTCTCAGCTTTGTTTGTGCCCTTGAAATGCACAAACACAATTTGATAAAGTGCCTGGGTTCATAGAGCAACAGCGATTTGCTCGGACGAATGTCTTGATGAAGAACTGAACAATATTAAACGGTTGCTAAGTAAGAATAGTTATCCTGAAAAGTTTATTGATAAGAATATGAATTTGAAACCAAAGCAGACAAAGTGACCAAAAGTTCCAAAAAAGGCCTTATTCTTACAGATGCACTTCCTTGAGGACAACATCAGCGAGATACTAACAAAGCGCATTAGAAATGCGGTAAAACGAACATTCCCTGCTGCTGAATTACGTTGTATCTTTAAAACCACTCCTCTTCTGCGTTTGGGAGTAAAAGACAAACTGCCTAATTTCGCCTCATCCATGTGTATCTTACAATTTAACTGCTTCTGTGCAGCCAGTTACATAGGCCGCACAATTAGGCGTGTTTCTCGTCGAATTTACGAACATTACCCTGCATAGCGGTTAAGTGAAGGACAAATAAACTCTAATCGCAGCGCCATTCTATCTCATTTTGTGAATACAGAACACAAGGTTGACGTTAACCATGCTTTCAGGGTCATTTACCGCATACCTACGAATCTCAATTTCGCCTAAAGATTTCGATTACTCAATATTGCTGAGGCTGTGGGGATCCATATTAAGAAGCCTAATTTATGCATCCAAAAGAAGTTAGTTCAGACATTATCCTTACCTTGACCCTCTAGGTTTGAATGATACTGAATTTTTGTGGAATCTTCTTAATTTCAGTTGATATTCTATTCGCTGTTATATCTTTATTTTTATCATAATTTAAGCATCTTTAATGAACTGCAGTAATTCCATCGATCTTACTTTACAAATCGATATTATTTAAAAAAAACACGCCAATATTGTTATTGACGTGATGGTATTAGATGGTTGGAGGCAATCGGCCACAGGAAGCCTTGCTTGACCTAGGTTTCGTACTAGTTGGCACTCACCAGTCAGCAAGGCGTATATGCAGTCACCTTGAAGGAACTCATGTCCCTTCTGAGATTTGAACCCGCATCACCTAGTGAGAGCTGCAGTCAGAGACGTTACCACTGAGCCGGAAGAGAAATTTACCAAACAGGCATGTTCTTTGCTGGATTATTTTGTGATTTATTAAATGACTGCTGTAGGTGTAAGAAAAATTTTATTTGTCAATAAATTGTATGAATTTATGACTTATTATTATTACTGGTTATTTGGCTTCTAAGTGAAACACAGATTTTGATGTGGTTTTGTTCTCTGAGCTGGATGTTTAGTTTGCGAAGCTTTCATCGCCCTACTGGTGACATCTTCAGCGCATACTTCAATTTGAAGTGAGCTTTCAGATTTCTCCACGAGTTTATTAATCATTCCTCCTGGTGACCTTGGATGTGATTGGTTGTTTATGTGTTTTCACACCTTCTAGGTTACTTGTGTTGGAACTGATTGTTTCTGTGACTTGAACTTTGACCCTTTGTATCTGAAGTTTCTTTCTTATCGGTTGATAAATTTTGTCTATCTCGATGTGTCTATTGATTGATGATTCACTGGAATGCCAACCAACAAAGTCGCTGCACTCAATTCTATGTCAACCAAAAGACTCAACAGCAAAAGAAGACAAAACCAACATCATGTACAAAATAAACTGTAACAACTGTGAAAAACACTATATTGGCCAAAGTGGACGTCCCCTTCGTCTTCATATCCACGAACATAAGTTAGCCGTCAAAAGACATGATATCCACTCCCTCATTTCACTACACACAGACAACCACGGACATCAGTTCGACTGGGACAACGTTCAAATATTAGACAAAGGAAATAACAAGAATGCTAGAGAATTTTTGGAAGCTTGGCATTCCAGTGAATCATCAATCAATAGACGCATCGAGATAGACAAAATTTATCAACCGATAAGAAAGAAACTTCAGATACAAAGGGTCAAAGTTCAAGTCACAGAAACAATCAGTTCCAACACAAGTAACCTAGAAGGTGTGAAAACACATAAACAACCAATCACATCCAAGGTCACCAGGAGGAATGATTAATAAACTCGTGGAGAAATCTGAAAGCTCACTTCAAATTGAAGTATGCGCTGAAGATGTCACCCAGTAGGGCGATGAAAGCTTCGCAAACTAAACATCCAGCTCAGAGAACAAAACCACATCAAAATTATCCACCTGAGCTACAAATCTTCTCTATCATATCTGAAACACAGGATCTTAAGCAACACAATTTCTGCTTTAATATAGCAAAAATATTCATTCAGACATCAATAAAACACAAAATAATTGAGCAAAGAATATCCTCCTTTCGATAATTTCCTCCTCTAGTGGCTCTACAATCATACATGGATGTTTGTATACATAGAATATTCTAGATTAGTAGTCAATAACAATATTAGTGTGCTTTTTAAATAATATCGATTTGTAAAGTAAGATCACAATGGAATTACCACAGTTCATTAAAGATGCTTAAACTATAATAATAATAATAATAATAATAAAGAGATATGCTATCAAATAGAATACCAACTAAAATTAAGAAAATTCCACAAAAATTGAGAAACCTTCCAAGATAGATGGCTAAAGTAAGGATAATGTCTGAACTAGTTTCTTTTGAACGCATAAATTAAACTTCATAATATGGATCCCAACAGCCAGCCACAGCAATATTTTAGTAGTCAAACTCTTAAAGCAAAACTGAGATCTGTAGGTATGCGGTAAATGACCCTGAAAGCCTGGTTAACGTCAATCTTGTGTTTGGTTAAGGACAAAACAAAATCTGTTCGCAGCGCTATTCTATCTCATCTTGTGGATGTGGCAGAACACAAGACTGATGTGAACGAGGCAGCTTTCAAAGTAATTTACCGCATACCAACAAATCTCAATTTCGCCATAGGAGTTCGTTTACTAAATACCTGCTGAGACTGCTGAGATCTACATTAGGAAGCTTAATTTGGGCGTTCAAAAGAAACTAGTTCAGACATTATCCTATGAGGACATCACCATATAAGTCATTCTGTGGTCTGACAGAGTGTCAAGGTTTACCTTCTATGATTTATGTCAGTTTAAAACGCTTAATACTATGGTTCAGACATGTAGTACTGTGGTGGGAGCTGTCTGCAAGCCAAAATTGTAGACAACAGTTTACGTTAATGTTTACGTCCCAAATCGGGGTCATGAGAAAAAAAAACAATAACAGAGCTAAACCTCAAGGAACTCACCAAACAATCAAAGAACACTTAACGTGTGCAAATATGATTCGCAAATATATGGCTTAACTTTCTCATAAATGGTCACAATCAGTACAGAACAAACTTGAGCAAGAAAATATTCCGTCTTACCTTCTACATCAAGAAGTTAAGACATTCTGGTATAACCCAACCCAACCCTTACTCCTACAATTTGTTAACTCCCGTATTCTGCCTATTATTCTCTATTAATCCCCCTTAGTTTTCCCAGGGCTACTGAAGAAAGACTATACCTTATTACGCAGGATGTTAAAGATTGTCAGCAGGGTAAGCACAGTTTGCCACTTAGCCGGCTTGTTAATATTCTGGTGGACAGGCACATGGACTCATGTGAAAAATGGGCTAAATCCATTTTATCTGACTCACAACACCCTCTACATTCACAATTCTCCCCTGGTATCTCTTCAGGGAAAACCAGAAGCCTATACAGGAAACTATTTGCCCGCACTAGTAAGTACAAAAACTCATCCATACCCTACCTAGCTCGTGTTCTGTGCGATAAACAAAGCATTAGGCGTGAAACCTTTAACTTATTAAATAGTCAGTAGAACAAATGGATCTCGTCTTTCCAACTCACATCACTTACAGGTACAACGTTTTCTCTCTACCTTTTTTTCTTTCTGTATTTATTTTTGTTATGTGCTGTTTTGTTTCTCTCTTCCTTACAAACTCTACTTAAAACATTCTTGTTCGTTCTATCACACTCTGTATATCTCGACCATTTTGTTACCGATTACGCCAGTAAATATGCCAGTAGTATCTACTTTTCTAACACCTTCAAGCAATCTGTTTAATTTTGGCTTTGCTACCGACATGCTAATATGTTGTTGTCAAAACTGACTGAGATAACTTTAATCTATGTAGAACTTTATTTATTGGTAATGTACTAACTGGATGGAATATTGTAGTAATAATGCTGAGAATTCCATTCTGTATCACAAATACTGTTTTGGAATAAAGCTATTATCTTATCTTAAACAACCAATCAGAAGACTTTGCTTCTCTACTGGCATCATTTTTCACATAAGAATCTACAAATATATGTTGGTTTTCTCAATAATCGATCCGTCGCCTGGTCCTTGTCTTCTGCCGTTACACTACGAATAATATACTACTGATAAGCCGATATAAGTAGTTGCATACCGCCCATATCGACGAGTGGTGCTTACTAGCCACCTCAATCAATCAGGAGTATATATTTTTACTCATTGTATGCTTACTTTCATACACAAAAATTGAGGATCATTCAAACCTAGATGGACAAGTTAATGATAATGTCTGAACGTTTTTTGGATGCACAAATTAGGCTGGTTAATATGGAT